GGAAGCAGAGGAGGAGGAGGAGGAGGAGGAGGAGGAGGAGGAGGAGGAGGACACTCCTTCAGCCTCGCTGGCTCCTCCCGCTCTCGCTCGAGGCTGCGACGCTCAGCCAAAAACGAATCCCGGCGGCGGGGCTCGGCAGAGGCTCCGACGGCTCCCGACCCCAAAGACCCCGCTCCTCGCTCAAGCGTCTGCCCTGCGCCCGCGTCTCAGCCATGGCAAGAAACCACCAAGTGCAGAAGGCCAAGCTGGCCGAGCAGGCTGAGCGCTACGAGGACATGGCAGACTTCATGAAGGCGGTGGTGGAGCACGGGGACGAGTTGTCCAACGAGGAGCGCAACCTCCTCTCCGTCGCCTACAAGAACGTGGTGGGGTGCCAGCGCTCGGCGTGGAGGGTCATCTCCAGCATCGAGCACAAAACCGAAGAGGGGGACGACAAAGCACAGCTGGTGAACGAGTATCGGGAGAAGGTGGAAAGGGAGCTGAACTGCGTCTGCAAGAACGTCCTGGCCTTGCTGGACAAGTATCTCATCAAGAAGGCGAGCGATGCTGAGAGCAAGGTCTTCTACCTGAAGATGAAGGGTGACTATTTCCGATACCTGGCCGAGGTGGCCACCGGGGACGACCGCAAGAAGACGATAGACAACGCCCAGGAAGCCTACCAAGAGGCCATGGACATCAGCAAAAAGGAGATGCAGCCCACGAACCCCATCCGCCTGGGGCTGGCCCTCAACTTCTCCGTCTTCCACTACGAGATCGCCAACGCCCCCGACCAGGCCATCTCCCTGGCCAAGACCACCTTCGACGAGGCCATGGGGGACCTGCACACGCTCAGCGAAGACTCCTACAAGGACAGCACCCTCATCATGCAGCTGCTCAGGGACAACCTCACGCTATGGACAGCCGAGTGCGCCGGAGAAGACGGCAGCGAGGCTGGAGAAGAGCCCAAGAACTGAACGGCCCCCGCGGAGCCGGGGACCGGCCCCCACCTGCCCCCCCCCGGCCCTCCAGTCCCTTCGGCATCTCTTCCTGGTGGTTTTTTTTTTTGTT